AATCAGATTATGCTGTTCAGGGGTACAGCTGGAGGATATAACTGACAGAGCAAGAGATATAATAAAGGGGGCTAGCAGAAATGCGGTTTTGTAGTGCATATAGGGGGGCTAATGATGTGAGGAAAGGTAGGTCAGAGGAGCTAATTAATAAGTACAATTGGTTGATAAAGGCATTTACAAAATCGGTCCTAACTTAATTTTGTCAGGGATACTGCCCTAAATTAACTGTAGGGATGAAGTTATAAGTAGATCACTAGTGATAAATGCTAGGCTAAGGTTTGTATGTAGGGATGAGCAGATTCGCTGGTTGGACTTGTGGGATCAGTTCAGTGGAGGAAGAGAGCTTTTTGAAATGGATGGTTTACATTTAAATAGAGTAGGGGCTGTCTTGTTTGCTAAGGGTATTAACTCAGCTGTAAGGGAAGTTTTAAAGTAGGGCTAGACAGTGGTGAGAGGCAGGAAAAACTGAATGCAAAAAGAATAAGAGGCAGAGAAAAGCTTAGCATAGGAAAATTGTATAGAAGTAGTTGTATGGATAGGCTTACTTGTTACTATTATAATGCTAGAAGAATAAAAAATAAAATAGATAACTTTAGAGCACTGGTAGGAATGGAGGATTTTGATATAATGAGAATAACGTTAAACATGGTTAAGTGTAGATGATTTTGATGACAGAAATTTTTTTGATATACAGGGTGACAGGCTATTTAATAAGAATAGAGAATTAAAGAGGGGGAGAGGAGTGGCTTTATATGTAAAATGTGAGTTACATCCTGTTGAAGCTGAGGATATCAAAGATACTAGCAAAGAGATATTATCCATTTGGATTTATATTAGTAGATATAAAGGAAAAAGGCTTGTATTGGGAATTTGTTACAGACCACCAAATGATACTGATGAAATTAGTAAGAAACTTTACAATGAGATTAAGATTTCAGCTGTTAATGAAGTCATAATTATGGGTGATTTTAATTTCAGGCATATAGATTGGGAAATTCTAGAGTCAAACCATGAGGGAGAAAGGTTTTTTGAAACTGTTCAGGATGGCTTTCTTCACCAGAAACCATCTAGAAATAATTATATAATTTTACAAATATAACACAGAAATATATATACATAATGCAGTCATCTTGTTTGATCTAGTTTCCACTTATCAACTGATCAAAATATGGAATACTGCTTAAATCCTCATTAGTAAAAACCAAAGAAAAAGTAAAAATTTAATAACCCAGCCATCTCATAATGATCAGATATTAGCCTTCCTTTATCATCCCTCAAGGGTCCTATCCCCATCCTAACATTTTGTTTACCTGTAATGTATTTAAAGAAATCCTTACTGTTAATTTTTACATTTTCAGCCAAACTTTTCTCATATATCCTTTTGATGTCCTAATTTCCTGTTTCACCAACTTTCTTGATCTTCTAAGTCTCCTGTCGTACCAGTCAATTTAAATTTCTTATGCTTTTCTTTAATTTTATCTCATAATATTAAAATATCATTATTCCTTATCTCCATATGGAGAAAAATATTGAACCTAATAAAGCAATGATCACTTGCACCCACATGTTCCCCAATTTCCACCCTCTCAATCATTTCTGTATTTGAAATTAACAATAAGTCTAAAATAGTTAAATGACAAATATGTGTGTTCTAAATGAAAAACAGAAAGTAGTAACTTAGAAGTAGAAAATATTTTCCTATTGTCCAATAAAATATTGAGAATTTCGTGAATGTACATTTAGCTTTCTATATTGTTATGTAAAGTATAAGAATTAATAAATTTGTTTTGCTGACTGTTAAAAACCCATTCTTCAATGCCAGAGTTGATGTATAGTGGACATACAGTTTGTTTTGATTGCAAAGGTTTTTCTGAAATGACAGAAAGTAAACACTATGTTTGAATATGTGTGATACTTTACATGTCTTTACTTACATATTTTGAAGGCAACATGTAATTTTTAAATTGGGGGAATGGTATATGAAGGTCAAGACCTAATGTTCAGCATAACGCGGAACAATCAACAGTTATGGATTTCAAGTGCATGATATGTTTTTTATAGTTTCTAAAATAAAGAAACTTTGATTGCTTTGGAGAATGCCCCTTATGTTTCATTTATGGTGACTAATAACATGCTTGGACAAGTATATACCACAGATATTATTACATTGAGCTGTAAATCAGTATTTTATAAACTAAGATGTTTTCGTAAGTAGCATATTAGTATATCTTGAAGTTTTGTTAACAAATGTTTCAGTATGTATGATACTTAACTCTGAGGTTTTACTTATATATACCAATAATAGTATATTAATCTATGATAAGAAGTGAGTTTCATATAAGAAAATCACAGAATACTGATCTATAACTGATGATTTTTATATAATGGATTATCTATCTGCAAAGTGTAAATGAAAGATAATTCGTGATATGGTAACAGTTTCAAAAGCAACGTGAAGAAACATCTGTTTTGAAATAGTCGAATAATAATCACATGATTTATAACTAAAGATTCTTTTACGATTATGACTGTCAAATCTTTTTAGATATTGATCATTGGTGAAAAATGTATTCGATGATTTGTTAAACTAAAATGTTTAAATAGTATAGTGTACATAAAGTTAAGTTTTTTTAGGTGAAAGAGATAATACATGTTACCGTAACATTGTTTCAAATATTTATGTCAGTTTTAACAAACTACATTTTCTGAGTCTGAAACACTAGTGACCAAATATGATATATTAATGGAAGTTTGTTAATACTTAAATAAAACTTAGACTGTTTGTTGTAAACTAAACTTATGAACGAGTTTACCACCACCACCACCACCTGGAAACAACTAACTCTGTTACCACTGAACTGAATGGATCTCAATTTTGAAAAATTATTCTAAGTCGACTGACACAGTCTGAACATCTGACCATTTACTGTACGTCGGGCAAAGTATGCAATTATTCTACGCTAACTGAAACATCCCGTCAAATATTGAGAAATGGAATATCATGAATACACATTTAGTGTTTTGTATCACTATGTAGTGTGAATATCTTTACTGACTTTAAAATTTCAGTGACATACGAAAACTGTAATTAAAGCATGGTGAACATTACATTTATGTAGAAATATGTGATTATGTAGAGTTTGAACTGTTTATTGTCAATATTAAGTATAATGTAAATACATAGTGACAATGTATTATAATTGACTTTTATTTTAATAAAAGTTTTCGCTACTTTTTTCTAGCCATTGATGACGTGTTGAGACAATGAGGTCATCATCCTTCGTTTATATAAATACTGTCTGTATGGGTGTGATCACGTGAAGATATTTGTAATTCCATACATTATCTCGCCAGGCTTGATGAAAAAGTAAAGAATTCTTATATAGTACTAAAACTAAAACTTTACACACATTGTTTGTTGGTTTGTTTTGAATTTTGCGCAAAGCTACACGAAGGTTATCTGCGCTAGAAGTCCCTAATTTAGCAGTGTAAGACTAGAGGGAAGGCAGCTAGTCATCACCACCCACCGCCAACTCTTGGGCTACTCTTTTACCAACGAGTAAGATTTGTGTACACGAAAGAAGTTTGGAGGTGTGTTTGCCTGTGATCAACTACCTGATTATGCAGAAAACAATTATACATCGTCAATTTAGATCCAGTTCACTAATCTGTTAGCCACTGGATCTGTATTCACATTGGTCGATAGGAGAAAGGAGAATATTTTGATCTGTTAGGACTGCCTCCATATAATCTCAACATAAAAAAAATCATCAAGAAAAACTTTCGAACTTAAACGTACAACAACAAAAATAATGTAAGGGCCGTATCCATCTGTGTGTGTGTGAACAATATTGTATATATATTATACTTATTATCGTTGTCGATATCTGTCTAAAAAAGTTCAGTCCAGTACAACAACAAAAATAATGTAAGGGCCGTATTCATCTGTGTGTGTGTGTGAACAATATTGTATATATATTATACTTATTATCGTTGTCGATATCTGTCCAAAAAAGTTCAGTCCACAAAGATTTATGAAAAATTGTAAATGCCTTTATTCTATTATAATGATTAATCACATTTATTGTGTAGCAAAATGATTTACTACAGAGTTTATTAACTAGATGTTAAAATTAAAGTTTGTGAAACATTCGTTATATGTGTATAGAAAGTTTGCAGCTCATGTGTTTTGAAGTTAGATAGAATAAACTTGCCACTATGAATCAGAGTGAAATGTCTCCATGGTGTCAATGAACCACAGATGGAAATGAAAAGAAGGTGTGTGTGTGCTGCATACTGTCCTACGGAAGAATAGAAGCATCTTTGTCAAACACACGCAATTAAATGCACATTAAGATATCTATACAATCTTTCGTAACATTGCTCACCTTTGGAAAATACGTGTAATACAAATAAACATATACAATTGAAAACAGAAAAGTAAGTTGTGACTTAATTCAAATAATGGATAACAGCAGGTTTCATAAAATCTTACGGACAGTAAGATTGTCGTTAAATAATGGATTTAACATAATTTAGTCTAGATACTGATGATGTAATCATATGTGGTAGCAACACCATCCACCCTTGTAAGACTCGTGTAAGATAAAACTATAAAGTAACATGTGTAAATGAATTATTTTGCTAAATTATGTGGATATCATAAAATCAAACTAGTGAAACAGTAAATTTTAAATTATTGCATGATATTTAAATTAGCGCCCTTTTTAAGGACGATTAACATATAAACGTTCAGGAAACGTAACTAAATATAACAATTAATCACATTTATTATGTAGCAAAAAGAGTTTATTAATTTCTGTATGTTAATTCATTCAATATATATATATAAATATTAGGTATTATAAAATTATTTCATGATAGATAATAGTAAATTATTTGTTTCCTTCAAATGAATATGTGATAAAACACTGACATACGTAACATTGTTATAACATGAAAACAATATTTGTAATTATAGGACAACAATAGATACCCACCTTCACGGGGTATAATTGACTCTGGACAACAAACTAAAGGTATAATGCCTTTAAAACCACAGTTGTTCTCATTAAGCAGTTTGGAATCCTTATGTAAAAGTTCTGGGCATTCTTGGACAGTTTTACAAACTCCTTTATAGACGCCATTTTTCAAACACTCATTTTCCGTGTCATTGGAATAAACAACTGCAAAGAACAAAACGTACTTTTGACTTTTTCGTAAAACGTAGTTAGTAAAAATAGGTAATATTAATAAAGTTTTCTAAGTAACTTACAAAATGGTAGCCATTAGAAAAATTCCCTCATTTGCGTTAACATTTTAATATATCATTTGCTTTGAGGACTTTTTGAATTGCACCTGTATAAATTTTAAAAATAGTCAAAACAACGTAGATAGGATAATTTAATAAGTCGCCAGCTGAAACAAACAAACAAATTGAGTGATATCGTGTAATAAATTTCAAATCACAACATGCTGAAATCTGCAGTTATGAACAGTATCAACCTCCAACAGCTAAGAAAAGTCAGCAGCAGGATATTTTATTTCTTGAAGATCAGTCTTTATGCGTGACTCTCCTTCCGTCAATTTGTAAATGAAGGGATTAGGTTACTAGTAAAGTAAGATGGAAAAAATAACTAGGTCAACATCTCTTATACAATTTAAAAACAAAAATATAAATTTCTGCTATAATTAACTCTACGAAATGAAAACAAAATCTATTACTGTCAAAAATTCAAATTTCGTAGTGGAATGATAAATTAATTGTTAAAAAGTGCATACTTTCCAGCATATCACAAAAAATTATCTTAATATTTTTCTTCGGTAATATATATCTTGATTTCTTATGAAAAAAATTTAAATGATTCATCAAAATTTCACTTATTTCAAAAATTTTGTTTTTGGTTAGCTATTTCTCAAAAATGAAACTTATCACCTCAGATATAGCACAGCTAGAATTACGATCAACTAAAAACTATAGTCTTGAGCATAAGGACATCGTAAGAAAGGTCGATAACATTGGTATTACCCAGTGAAATTACAGGTACAGATATTTGTTTATGTCGGTTGTTTTTGTCATTTATTCACCTTTTCGTCAATTCACATTTGTAGAAAGGAAAATAATTAGTATGCTTATAAGATTCCCACAATAGTAAATTCATGTTCCAAAACATTTTTTTAGTCTAATATATTCGATTATAACGAAAATGAGAATTTCTATCTAACCTATCTGTATGTCAATCTATGTTCATGAGCGTAGATAACAAATTACCCTTTTCTGGACTGGAGGTGTCATTGACATGCCTCTTTTTTTTTTCTGCCAGTGAAAATACGCTGCAGGTGGCTTAGCGGTACGTCTGAGAGCTTATCACGCTAAAATTTGGGTTGCGATACCTGCAGTGGGCAAAACTATAAATTGTAAGAAATCACAGTGACAACTGACAAAGATATATTAGTTACCTAAGACTTGACCTCTAACAATGGCGTCAGGTGATATTATGTCTAATAATATAGGTTATTTATTATATATAGATATATATATTATATATATATATAGTTATTTTCAATAACTAATAATTTGCTTTATTGTCTACGATGTGGGAATATAATAAATTAAGAATCATATTCAGTAAATTGGAATTTGAGACAGTGAAACATTTTGCCGTCGACTACAATACGCTTTAACTATTTTACCTTATGTCGTGTCATAGGAAAATATTTCTGTAGCTTTTAAAAAATATAATTTTAAATAAAAACGTTTTAGGAACAAAAAGAACGTCTAAGGAAACTGTAAAAAAATCACAGATCTATTTGTTTGTTGATAAGCATAAAGTCACACAATAAGCTATCTGGGCTGTGCCCACCACGGGTATCGAAACCAGGTTTTTAGCATTGTAAACCTTCAGACTTACCGCTGAGGGCCATAGAGCTATGGTTTGATCATAAATTTTCTATAGTTCCCCCTAAATTATAGAGTTACAGCTAATCATTTTCCCACGAAACCATAAGTTACTTATCACACCACTTTATTCAATTTACATTAAAGTAAATATTTTATAATCTGCTCTAACTGATATTAAAATTTTGCCTGTAGCTATTTCCAAAACTGCATTTCATTAATATTTGTTCACATCACATACTGTGAGGTCATAAAAGGGGTGGAACCAAAAGGCTGTACTAAAAACAAATATGAGAAACTGAAGGAACGCTAAAATCTGGGTGTTGATTCCATGCAGTGGACGCTACAAATAGCTCAATGCGGCTTTATGCTAAAATAAACAAATTTTGAAAATTACACTAAATAAATCCTACAAATGATAAAATATCACTTGAAATATAGTTAGAATTATTATTTTTACAAAGATTTTGAAATCTGATATGCATGTGCTCTCTGGACTACTATAGTAGGGGACCCTAAATTCTAAACATTTTTAGACAAAGAACTTAAAGTCATCTATATCTTATATAATAAACTCGCATAAATCTCTAATTCTTAAAAATTAGATGTACGGGTTATTCGAATTCAAAATTTGTAACTAACGAGTAGTAATTTTATGTAAAAGTTTTATTTCAAATAATTATTTCAAAAGTAGCCTTTCGCCTAAACTCTATATCTAGCAATGTCCATGGAGTACAATCACTGAAGTAAGCTACAGCATTGACTGAAATATCATTTTAAATATAATTAAAAGGCAAATTTCAAGCTTTTTTTTTGGACCAGTTGCATTACTGGTTTCATATACAGCTTATCATAATAAGCCTATACTCCATGTTGCAATACGAGTTCCAAAGTGTCAAGTTATAGGCATAGTCTCCTATTAGTACATCTCTAAATTTTTCTGGTATACATTAAAAATTTTGTTTGGTGTTAAGCGTAAAGACACACAATGGATTATCTGTGTGCTCTGCTCACCGCGCGTATTATGACCCAGTTTTTAGCGTTATAAACCCTAAGAATTATAATAAAATAAGTATGATGTAAATAATACTATCAGTACAAGAATGTAGAAGTATGTTTTAACCGTACATAAATTTTACTTAGACAAACATAAAAGTTACTCACACCTCTGTTGTTTACTGTCATCACTGCTGACGGTAATTGACAAGAGAAAAACTGGTACACACAGTACTGGAAAGAGGTTCGCTCTCATAACCATAACGATGTTTTTTTTTACCTAAATATACGAAAATAATAGCTACACAAATATACAAATATTGTAACAGTGCAGTCAAATTCTTAAAAATAATAAACTTCTTGAATAAGAGACGATGATTTATGTTGCATTATCATTCTAAATTTAAGATTAAGTTTGTTTTTCACGTATTATAGCAGGATTTTGGCATTTTAAAGGTAGCAAGTGTCTGTTTCAGATTACCATAATTATTTACTGTCCTTTGTGGTTCGCAGAAGGTCGCAACATGAAAGATTAGTTGTTTTTGTTTTGTTTTTCAGAACATTATTAAGATTTACAACCTAAGCAACACTTTATGTACGAAAAGTAGCAATAATTTATCCACAGCCTAGCACACTAACCTCCATATCACACTTGCCCCCTTTAAGAATGAATTCTCTATTATAAATATATAGATATTCAATAACCACGCCACTTACACCACTGTTCTCTCTCTAACATATGCGCCCCCCAGTGGCACAGCGGTATGTCTGCGGACTTACAACGCTAGAAATCGGGTTTCGATACCCGTGGTGGGCAGAGCACAGATAGCCCTTGTGTAGCTTTGTGCATAATTAAAAACAAACAAACAAACAACTCTAACATATGTAAAGTAGTAATATGTTTTGTTTCAGAAAAAAGCACTGCCAAACAGACATTTTAAAATTAATAACTTAGTGTTTCTCTCACTGTTCTCTGAATCTCGTGGAAACTAATAAAAAGCTGAAGAAGTATTAAAAATCAATAAGACTACAATTCGTGATCAAAATCACGCAAACTGCAGATGTTTTTTTTTCTCGACATTCGTTTTAATTTAGCCTTTTCGGTTTCAAAATCAAAGGTGTGTAAAAATATTATTTCGTATCTAGTTTTTCTTCCCCACAACTCACTGCTCAATAAGTTTGTTTGTAATTAAGGACAAAGCTACACAATGGGCTATTTGTGCTCTACCCATCATGGGTATCGAAACCCGGATTCTAGCGTTGTAAGTCCGCAGACATACCGCTGTGCTACTGTTGTAACTATGAAGTACATTTTCAAAGGTGATTACTAAGAATTGTAAACAGAAGGTTCCTTTTTCTTAATTGCTTGTTTTATTTGCGACTTTGTGAATATTTCTATTTATGACTAAAATGATATAAAAGACTACTTAGTGTAGATATTATTGATTAATATATTTTCTGAGTGAATATTTTATTATTGTTTAGTTTTTAATAACAAGAGAGTTAGAAGCAATTTTTTAAAGTAAATTTTATGACAAGTTTAGTTACGTATATTGGTAAGAGTCGTATGTTGTGTTTATAACTCATTGGTATATAGAGCATAAAATGTCGCGTGAGATTTACTTATGTCGAGGATAGAAATTTATAGAAGGTGAGCAGAAGATTAAGCAATAAACATATAAATAGTGTGAGGTGAGCAGGAAAGTAGACAGACAAAACAAATACAGAAACTAAACTCACGGCAAGTAGAAATGCGGCCCAAGGAAAGGTTAGAAAACATAAGGTTGACGTCGTAGAAGTCAATAGCCAATTGATATGGTAAAGTGAGATTAACATTTTTTCTGACATTTTAGGAGAATAATTTGTCTCGTCAAAAGATCTTCTAAAGCAATTGAACCTGCCTCTGTGGACTTTGACAAAAAGCAGACGATTATTGGAAGTAGGCCTATATATGAGAAAATAGGCAGACAGACAAAGACAGAGCAGACGAGAATTAGAGTGAAGTTACTAGAAGGAATTCGGCCAAAGAAAAATTAAACGCAAAGTAATCGTCGTAGAAGTGGAAGGCCTAATGATTAATATAGGCCTAACGGTTGATATATTAGAGTGAGACTAATGGTGTTGAAATGGATAAGAAGAATAGTTTATTTCGTCAAAGAGAGTTCTAAAGTAATTGAACTAGCCTCAGTGGACTTTGACAAATAGACAGACGATTCTCGTAAATACAAAGAGAGAAAAAGGAGCAGACGATTTTAGAAGTGTAGGATACAACCGTGGTAACTCGACAATAAAGAAAGTGAACTATACTCGGATAGTTTGGCGATAATAATAGAGAAAAATAGTTCGACTTGTCAAATGAAGTTCTAAAGCAATTGAATAGGCCTAAGTGGACTTTTGACAAAACTAAGAGAACTATGTAGTGTTTATGATATGCCTGTGATCTCTATAGTGTAAATAATTTGTTGTACATACGTTTAACTAGTTCTGAATATATATATATATATTTTGAAAACAAGTGGAGTGAATGCTGTTCGTTTATTTTTGAATTTATCGCCAACAAGTCACAGACACCTACTATAGAAGAATCCTAAGACCAACAATTACAACAACACAGTATATATTTATACTATTAAAAAGTATAAGAAAAAGCCTTTAACTGACAATAGGCGAACATAACTTAACATTTGACAAGTACTATAATGATTAAGTATACATTTTTCATTGTTAAAGGACATTTCAATTTATTATGTGACTAGGGTGGTATAGTTTTGTATGTTAAAGTTCTTTTTAATTATGTTTGTAATTATATCTTTGTTAAAAAGTTTATTTTTGCATTATGTATTTCTCTGTTAAATACATTTTATATTATTTCGTTGTATAAGAGTATTTTATTTTTGTACTGTAATCTGTTGAATTAAAAGGTGTTTTATTTCTATTGCTTTATTATTTCATTATCTATTATAGTGTATTTTAAATCTTTATTAAATAGTTTTTGTCATTTTAAGTTGTATTTCTTTGTTTAAGAGTTGTGTCACCCAAGTTTCATGGGAATTATTACAGGTGCAAGAAAAAGTTAATACACTCCTATCCTAGACTTTGGCAAGAGTATAAAGTTAATTATTTTAAAAATTAAAATTGATTGTTGGCTTAAGGACAAATCAGAAACAGATAGGGAAGAAAAGTGTGGTGTGCATGGCCCTACCTTTTCTATCTTCTTAGTTTAATGTAAAAAGTTACGGAAAAGCATGTTTATGCTAAATCTATTCCATTTACGCATAATATGTGGTCCAGACAGTTGTTAAATCGGCTTTTTTGTTACTGCTTTGTTCCTTTGTTGTTCTCTAGAGATATCGCCTGTTCTGCCCATGAAATTGAATTGTTATAATCCTAGAAATTGCACAAGACTGTCGACAGCAGCGTCCTTCCCTGGTAGTTCAGATGTTATTTCGAGGTTACAACACCCCCCTATGTTAAATAAGAATGACCAGTAGTACTAATAGCTATGAGTAAATCTCATATTTCCCATTGAGAAAAAAACATTCTGACATAGAATGTTCAACAGATTACAGTACAAAAATAAAATACTCTTATACAACAAAATAATAGAAAGACATCTCGAGGGAAGAAAATCAGTTAATCATTTCATAAGTTCAATGACAGGCACATGTTCTATGTCCAATGCAAATAGGCACTCTGTGTTTTTGTCTTTGTGAATAAATTTTGTTGTCATTTTGTATTATACATCATATCCAGTCTATTTGTTTCATATTCACTGAAAGTCAGCATTACTTCGTGATTTATCTTGCCATTCCTCCCATCATAAAATGGACCTACCTAATAATACTCTTTGTAGAAATCAGTTTAATCTGATAATACCACACACATTTAAATAGATATATATCATAACTATGATAAACTGATACATGTTACCTTAACAACCAAGTAACAGTCGATATAAGAATGCTTAAATAGCTTGACTTGAATTTCTAAAAACGAGTTTGAAATGTCATTAGTTCGAGCCTACACCCTACCCTTAAAATAAGTACAGTCAAAGTCAAGAATGATTTATAAGAGGTTTATTTTTTCACCATCAGTAAATCCAAAATCAAGGCAAAAACTTTAAAGATTGTTATTATATTTGCTTACAAATACAAAACGAGGAGTTCGTGATTTTATAGCTATAAAAATATATTATATAAACAATGTGTCTTTAGCCAACAGTGGCATTACATGCCTGTAACTTCTAAAGGTCTCGAAATTTGGGGACAAATTTCAAGACCTGTAAATTGGTTTACCATACCCGTAGTTTCATGTAACTATATAACAAAATCCAAGCAAATGTATTAAATGTCATTTTAATCATCAGAGGACATCAAAAACATATATAAGAAAAATTTGAACTGCTGTATCATAGATTGGATCATTTTATATGCATAAAACCAGAAATATCTAAAGTCAACCGAATAACCCATTTTTGCAGATTACGATAATTCTAGGTTGTGCTGTTTTCTCATAGTGCTCTGATTTATCTAAGTATATCCTGTAGGATCCATAGAATGACAGAAGGTTTCAACAGAAGTAATGCCTGTATTTACTCTACCTTTAACTGAGTCTTTACACAAAAGAACGACTGGAAACAAGTTTGCAAACACTCACATACTTTATTATGAACAGAGTAAAGTTTAAGTTAACACTTGGACAAATGCTTTTGGGTTCAACTATAGAGAGATATGGAGGAAGCTTTATTTTGGGCTTTCTCATCAGTACACCTTCAGATCACAGACACTGAAATTGGCCCAAGTCTTGCTAAAGCTATCTAGCAAAAATTTCTCTCGGAAAGCTGTAAGTAAACAATCTGGCAGAATCAAAAGTTCTTTGAAAACCACACGTTATCTAGTCTAGTCAAAATGTAATTTAATAAATTTATATTAAACAAAGAAAACGTGGTAGTATATATATATATGTAAAGTCCCCCCCCCTCTCTGGGCACGCATGCCATCCACGTGACTAAGGGCCACTCTCATATCAACAAGGAGTGTCACAGCCTTTGACTACCTCATGGCCTCCAATAACACAAATTATTGTTTCTATCTACAGCATCTTTCATGCCACAGCAGCTTCCCCTAATGGAGAACACATGTGATATCCTTGGTGACTCATCCAGTACCGTGAATAATCAAATAAGAGAAACTTAGTAGTTCACCTTATCGAGTTCTATATTAAGAACGAAACATTAAATATAGTTAAAACGTAAAAATTTATCTATTGACACTGGTTGAA